TTGTCAAATATTAATTGAGCATAATGGCTTGGGTTGATTTCTGGGTTCTCTGTTCTGTTCCACTGGTCTATATGTCTGTTCTTGTGCCAGTACCAGGCAGTTTTGAGAACAGTGGCTTTGTAGTATAGGTTGATATCTGGTATTGTGATCCCTCCAACATTTTTCTTCTTTCCCAAGATTGCTGCAGCTATTCGGGGTCTTTTTTTATTCCAGATGAATTTTTGGAGAGTTTGTTCTAGGTCTTTGAAGTATGCCATTGGTATTTTAATGGGGATTGCATTGAATTTATAGATTGCTTCGAGTAGTATGGACATTTTAATGATGTTGATTCTACCAATCCATGAACATAGTATGTTCTTACATTTGTTCATGTCTTCTTCTATCTCTTTTTTCAGTGCCCTGAAATTTTCTGAGTACAGATCCTTTATCTCTGTGGTTAAATTTATTCCTAGGTATCTTATAATGTTTTTTGCAATGGTAAATGGGATTGCTATTTTAGTTTCTCTTTCTGTGAGTTCATTATTGGTGTACAAAAAAGCTGTCATCTAAATTTTATAAAAATGTATGAGAATTACAGAAATGATTCTATTCCCTCAGATACAGGCCTACAGAGAATCCTTACATTCAGGCAAGATGATCATAGTCCAGAGTTGACCATTTGTCTGCTAATGGCCACTTAAAAAATTCCAGTTGTATTGCTGAAGAAAACCAAATTATTCTACAAAACAAATATTTATTATTTGCATACTGTATGGCAGACACAGAACAAGCCTCTAATTTCCAGGAAAATTAAGTCATGGGCTTTTTTTTTTTTACATAGCCCATGGGAAGGAACAAACATACATCAATACATGTACAAGTGCAGTGGAAATGTGTACAACATAAGGTGGTTCCATTTATAGGGGAGCAAGGAAGTCAGTAGAGGATGATAGAAGGGATATTTGATTTAATTTTGACAAATAAATGCACATATTCAGGTCAGACCTATGGGTAAAGGCCTTATTGCTAGAAAGAACAAAAGGTGTGAAGAAATAATGTCATAAGGAATGATTGAACTCTAAGGTAAGGGCTGGTTTTGAAAGGTAATAAGTTAGAAAAACTAATCTCTTAAAGGGTTATATGTACAAGACACTATAGTAGTTGTTTTTTTGTTTGTGGGGGATATATTCTAATACCTCCAGTGGATGCCTGAAACCATGGATAGTACTGAACCTTTTATATGCTATCTTTTATTCCTATAATATTCACACACCTTTTTACTTAAAGGAATATTCTTTGGCATATCCAAATTTTCAGTATCATTACTCTTTGGGGCCTTTATTAAGTAAAATAATGGTATCTTGAACACAAGTGCTGCAATACCATGACAATTGATCTGAAAACATTGACAAATGTGAAGTGACTAATGGGTGGGGGTCATACAGAGTATGGATACACCAAAGGGATGATTCAGATCACAGATGAGGTGGTGCAAGATTTTATCACACTACTAAGAACCATGAACAATTTAAACCTTATGAATTGCTTATTTTTGGAATTTTCCATTTAATATTTTTGGACCATGGTAGACATTGGGTATCTGAAACCACAGAAAGCACAATTGTGGGTAAGTGAGGAGTACTATAACTGATCTTATTGGTCATTTCCTTTCCTAGCAAATGAACTTGAGCTACGTAACATTGATCTTTATCATGGAAGTGGCTTAGAGTTCACTTTAGGTTAGTAATCAACACACTGCTTTCTCACTTTTTATTTAGAAAGTCAACAAAATGTCTTTATATAAATACTAGAGGCCTGGTGCATAAATTCATGCACAGGTGGGGTCCTGAAGGGGGTGGTGAGGGGCGGATGTGATCAGCCCTCCGGGGCAGGCTGTGGAATGCCCTTGCCGGCCCAGGATCCGGATCCGTCCCACTGATATTCGCACTGGTTGTCAGGAGCTACCTGGCAGCCGCTTTTATATTGTTTCTTCCTTGCCGAGTGTCTAGGGAGGGGAAGCAGCCGGGGTGTCCTAGGCCAAGTTCCAGGAGACCAGCAGTGCTGTCAGGATCATGCCGGAGGTGCTGGTCCATTGGTGCCTGGTCCGTTCTCCAGATTGGACCTGGAGGACTACTGAGGGAGGGAGTGGCTGCTGCAGGGCTGGTGGGCCGCCGGGACCGGTTGGTCAGCTGAGTGGTGCTCCCACTGTGGGAGTGCACTGACCACCAGGGGGCAGCTCCTGCGTTGAACGTCTGCCCCTGGTGGTCAGTGCACGTCATAGCGACTGGTTGTTCTGGTCATTTGGTCACTTAGGCTTTTATATGTATATAGTTTATAGAAAACAGGAGATCCAGGTTTATATTTGGGAGTCTTGATCCAGTAAAGAAATCAACCAGATGTAAGCCTCCTTTATTCTTTTTTTCTTAGCTCCATCCCCATATCCCTGTGACCAATCCATTATTATATGAACCTGTATGAATTTATAAATGGCTAACAGAGAGAAAAATAAGGAGAAATCCTACCCCATCTATCACCTCTAAGCAGTGCGAGGACAATCTTTATAAGGTGGAATATGAAAATACTGCCTAAGTTTAAGTTAGATTGTGTTTATAGATCTTAGTAACTCATGCTCCCCTCTTTGCCTGTTTTTATGGAAGAAGTGTTAGTGAGAGAGTTAGCTACAGTGTTGGTTTTCAGTATGTTAATTTCCAGAAAGTGGTTACCAACTTTTACATGGCTATGAATGACAGGTTAGGTTCCAGAGGATATTTTAAAATCATATCCAGCAATCTTTGACACTAGAGTGTGATAATACTGTGAGGAAAATTTTAAATCTTATAAAATGATACCCCTTTCTTACCTAGGTTTAGATAAGGAAATGAGAACAGAGTATATAAGTGAGTTGTTCAAGGTTACCTAACAATTTCATTTGTACATACATGTGTGCATGTGTTGTTTTCTCTTTTGCTTTATTTGATGGTTTACACTAAACTGGCACTTAGTCTTTACACATACTCACTTAGTTCAGACATTATTTTAAGGTAGAAAAGAAGTAATCAGGAGTATCTACCAAGATAATTTCATATTATTTTATTGGCAAATTACTTAAGTTATTATTCCTTCTCATATGAACAAATTAATTAGTGAACTAATAATAAATTATTAGTAAGCATTTATCAAGGGATTCATTTATAGATAATTAATAATTACCTAGTTTTAATGGCACTTCTTGATCATTCAATACAATTAAAATATAAAATTACAAGTATTGACAGGTTATCCAACTATAAAGTCAAATGAATAGTAAATGTCTTCCAATGGCTCCAAACACTTGAAATTTAAAAAAAAATTGTGGCATTTCCCTGCATAGTTCAGTGCAATCCAACATTATCATTTTGATTAATAGCAGCGAAGATTCAGTTTACAGGTTGTGCTCTTGCTATCTATCATATCTGAAAAGGTAAAAGGAATAAAAATAAACAAAATATCCCAAATACTAAAATGATGGTCCGGTTACCTTAATTCAGAGATTTTTATTTCTCCCAGGGTTTAAGTATGTCTGTGCCTCTTGAGATTTCTGCGTCTGGAATTGTGTTGATTTGACCATATTTAATGGTTTTCATTGAACAACCACTGTATAAAATATATACCAAGATTTCAGGAAGTGACATGACAAGTAGAAATCATGCCCTCAATGAGTTTATAAAAAAGGGAGAAGTCAGGGTAACAAAGAATAATAATATATAAGGGCAGGTGTAACATATAAGTGTATGTGTATGTATCTTTGTTTAGAAGCATATATAGAACAATTCCTGAGCATGGGTGGAATGTTACTTAGGAAAGAAGAGAAGAATTTATCTTTAGTAAAAGAATGACCGTCACTGAGTCACTGATGAAGACCTGATCAGTGTTCTGAGGAAGGGGAAGAAGAGGATGTAGGACGGCTGAAAAGAGATTACTCCAATAGAAGGAGCTTGAAGATGTGGTTGGTAGGTTTACTAGGATCAAGGGCATTATATGAGAGAACATGTGGGCCCACAGGAAAAGTGATATTTGCAGGAGATCTGAGGTTCACATGTATACATTTATTTTGTTGAAAAGGCCACAACATGCAGTGGCTTGTCTTCGGTGGCTCAGAGAGCCTCCCAAATAGGAAAGTTCTGGTTTATTGGCAATACTGGTTTCATAATTCTCTGTGTATCTGTTTGTTCCAGGGTTTTAAAAATGATTTTCTCATTAAAATGTTCTGTATGGTTATTTCTATTGGGTTAGACTATCTGAGGGCAAAAGGACAGTCTTCCTTTTTACATTAATTTAAACATTCAAAATGAATTAATCTCTTGCTAAGGGGCAGCCTATTCGAGAGTACATTTAATTGATGAAAATGGTCTCTATGTGCTTTGCCACAACAACAACAAAAAAAGAAAGAGTGGTCAAGTGACAAAACCAAAAACTATCTTCATTGAATCACAGAATGATTTTATGTTCTAAATATTATGTTTAATATTTTCAATAGTCTCTTCCCTGTAGTTATTGTACATATGCCGACATGTATACAGATAATCATGATTTATCAACGAACTCTGGGTCTTTCCTAACTCTGCCTGCTCTTTGATTTTCATAGTCATGTGATCCCCACACAATGCAGAGAAGAACCCGCCATCTGCTGAGACCCTCGCTGAGCTCCAGGACATGCGCTGAAGACTCCCAGGTGCGGCCTTGTCTCCTGAATGAAAACTGCTTCCAGTTCCAGTACAACCTGACAGGTATGCCCTTTTCCCGTAGCACTGACTAACGGGGTACGTTTGCATAGGTTTTTGTTCTCCCGGTTAGGACTGTCAGTAGCATGTGTGAATCCATTGCACAGCAGGCTGAGGATTTGACATTTCCAGTGCCCCTTCACATGCCCACTCTCGCCACGTAGATTCAGCAACACCACCTAGAATCTCTGAATTCAAAGATGCTTACAAAGATTGACAAAATTTCAGAATCAAGTTGAATTAAGCCATGCTAAACTGAAACAATAAAAAATATCATGGGATATTTTATCATTTAGGAAAGAATATAATTATTCTGTCACAGAATGTAGCTCTTTAATGGTCTCTATTACTTCAAGAACTTCAAGCTTGTGATGCACTTGTTCTATGGGTCTCAGTAAGGATGAATGGTAGGCCTGCCGGACAGGGATGTTTGAGAGGCAGTGGGAATCATAACAGCCTCATTGCCAAATGCTTAGCTTTTTCCTGGACACCACAGTGTCTAATACCAAAGACTGTTTAGTTACATTGATCTGCTACTCACCATTTCCTGCAGTAACAGATATACAAAATGCCACAAAATGTGGAACCATGTTAAGTCTCAGTATTGAACTCAATACTGATATCCAAACTGCCCCCTGCCTGCAGGGGCAGAGCAGTACTGGTTTCTGGAACAAATTCCCCACTAACATCCCAGTGGCGCTGCTGAGATTTCTCATGTAGAAAACTTTGTGGTAAATTCTGTGGGGCTGTATGATTGTGTTTATAGGTGAAGATGATCTCATGTTTTCCTCTTTTTCTTTTTTTTAAAATATATTTTATTGCATTTTTATAGAGAGGAAGGGAGAGTGATAGAGAGTTAGAAGCATCGATGAGAGAGAAACATGGATCAGCTGCCTCCTGCACACCTCCTACTGGTGATGTGCCCGCAACCAAGGTACATGCCCTTGACCAGAATCGAACCTGAGACCTTTCAGTCCGCAGGCCAATGCTCTATCCACTGAGCCAAACTGGTTAGGGCTCCTCTTTTTCTTTAGCTAAAGGTGTGTCAGAACCTTGGTTTTCATAGAAATTTTTTCAGAAATACAACTAAATTTGCTTTACTGGAAGAGCGTGTCTTTTAAAACACTGATTTCATCATACAAAGTTTGCTATTCCTGTTAAACTTAGATCATCTAACAATTATGGAAAATCTCCTTAAAAAGGGTCTCATTGCATATGATCAAGGATCTTCCTTTGTACCCACACCAACAATAAAAAATTTTTAAGAAGCAAGAGAATTTATACTAACTCAAAGTTGTCTACTTTGTAATGCAATGAGCCAAATCTATAAAACCTTCTTTGATGAGAATAATTTTTAAAAATTAGAGTTTTGAGAACAGGCTATATAGTTCTAAATAGGTTGAACTCTTTCTTTTCTACAGCGCCTTTTTTGGCTTCACTGTACCAAATTGTTTAGCTAATTATATTTATTCCTTGAAAACATTTTCAAGTTCACATCAAAGACTAGCTTCATTTCTGGGTTATTTTCTCTCTCAACTATCCCCAGCAAATAGAGGATTCCAAACTTGTTTTCCTTTCTCATCCTGGTTAGTGTCTTTCCTTTCCCTCCCAGCCAACTGTGAGATGGTTTCTAACAAACATTTGGCTTTTTACCTTAAAGAACATGTAGGAAGTTAATTCACTCATATTAATTTGATTGTTTTTCTATGAAATAATTGCATGATGTCTTTAAACCCAGCTGTAGTGGTTTTAGAGTTACATACACACTGTCTTCCACCAGTACAGATAACCTTAGGTTTATTGTATTTTGCTCACATGCCCAGAATTTTGAAACTCACTGTGGTGATTCTATGCCGTAGAGTGGAGCACGTGCCAGCTGAGTGAAAATGCGACCTGTGGGCAAGGTGTCAGGACCCGCCTTCTGAGCTGTGTGCGCAGTGACGGCAAGCCAGTCAGCATGGACCAATGTGAGCAGGTAATTTGTTTATATTTGTTTTCAATTGGTAATAGAATATAGTTTCAACTTCATCACAATGACTGGGAAAGGTCATTGTTGGTAATAGTATAGTAGAGTGATATCCCACTAGTTTCAACTTCATCACAATGACTGGGAAAGGTCATTGGCACTGGGGATGTGAGTTCATTAAAAAATATTTCTTATGATTTTCAGGAACTTATTTAGATGTACTTGCTGACCAACAAACTATTGACATCAGGTGACTCTAATATTTAGGTATGACTCTGTACTGGGCAGGTGATTCATCTGCATATGTGATAAACACTGTCCATTCCATATATGATGAACACTGACATTTGCTATTAGAATACTCTGCTTTCTTAGTATCTGATTGTTATATAATTAATTCAGTTGTATTCTCCTTCTCAAGCTAAGTTAAAATGTCTCCCTACCAAATTTCAAATGAGCAGGTTCAGAATTTTTTCCCTTTTCTACCTGTGATAAACTATATAAAGTTTGTATAAAAGCTGTTCCAAAGAAGTCAGCATTGCTTCCCAATGTACAAGTGAAAAGCACTAAAGGGGAAATATAATAGAAATAAATATGACAATATGCTTTCACATTATAGGAATCACTAAAACAATCTTTCAAATAAATGGAAAATATGGGGCCAGTTAATTCAGATCACCACAGAAACTTTTCTTAAACTGGCAAAATAATTGTTGTCCCAGGTCTCCTAACAAAAGGGGGGTACACAAGTAAAAATTAACATCAAAACAAAACCTTCCTCCTCTAACCTGATTTAACATGTTAAATATTGTCATGACCACACACTCTTTAACCAAACACATAGCTATAGACCAACACCAACTCTGAGACCAGACCATCTGAAATCAGATGTCCCATTTGGTGAAATTCTGAAACTGGCTAACAGATGGCAGAGTTCTGTCTACCAGAAGTCAGTGATTTATTTAACACTTTATTTCATCTCATCTGCTTCTCAAGAAGTTTTAGGCTTCAAGAAAAATAAATTCACAATGTATAACAACTCCAAATAAGTGAAAAATCTTACATTCAATATGTATAATAAATCTTTTATTTTACATTCAATATGTATAACAAAGAAAGATATAAAGTTTTCATTAACAGAAAAATCAGTTTCTCTGCTTTCCAATACCATATGCCCAACAAATATTTTTTTAAAATATTAGTTTAAAGAAGCCCCAAATTATTAACCTAACTAGAATATCCATACATCGTGTATGGATCATACATTTCCTGTGGTAACTGCCATGTTGCCCACTTGCCAAGTCATCATTAATTTCAGCTTGGTATGGACAATGCTAACACCTAACATGTATTGAAAGTCAGTTTTCCTCAATGTGCACATGATATGTGATTCCTAAAGCAGAACGTTTTATTATTCTGTGTTTCTTAGATGATTTCTTCTTTCACTAAGACCTCTTATACCTTGATCATTAGACAATTTGTAGATTTTGCCTAGATATGGGTTTCAGAGTGGATGAAAGGAAAGCGAATTCTATCACCAACTTTCCTCATGATTAAGCCCATGATTATGTTTTTTAGCATAATTGGTTTTTGTAATAAACTTTAGATGGGTTATTGATTTGGGCTTTATTGTTTTTTATTTATGTTTTATCCCAGCTAGCTGTTCATTTTGGCTCACCCAGAAGTGCAGGGTGCTTGCATTTAACACTGAGCATCCTCTTGGTCTCCGGCTGGCTGAGCAGGACAGCCGTTTTTTCCAATTGCCATCAATTTAAATAAGAAAGGGTACCCCCCAAAAAATGTAACAGATTATTATCAAAGAATAAAAGGCAGTCTTTCCCATAGAAGGATAATGTTTTGATTTGATGTTGATTTGAATTATACACTGAAATCCCATTTCATTTCCATCTGCAGCGTAACTTGGCGAAGCCACAGAGAATGAGCATTCACTGCCTGGTGGAATGTGTGGTCAACTGTCAGCTCTCGGAGTGGACAGCTTGGACCGAGTGCTCACAGACTTGTGGCCATGGAGGTATGTGGTCCCCTGTGTATGTTCACACTGAACAATTCAGTATGCTGTGGCCTGACAAACGGGCATAAGGCATGCTGGCCAATTGGAGACAACATGAGGCTGACACGGGGAGTAGAGAGAAGCTGGCCTCCTCTCAGTTCCTTACGATCAGGCAGAGATTGAAGAACTGCCTGCGAACAGTGGCCCACACCAGAGGAGCTGCTGGCCTTGTGGGAGAGTGTTTATCCAAAAGGTCGGAAGCTCAACCAATTATAAAAATGTTGGCCTCTGTTTTTGGAAGGAGTATGTTTTGTATAAGTAAAGCTGGCTCCTGTGTCAGGTAAACGCCCAAATCAAAGTGGCTTAACATCATAGACTAGACTAATTTTTCACTCATGAAAAGGGTAGAGTAGCTTTTGCTTTACAAAGTCAATTAATAATACAGATCGAAGAAGTGATATTTTAATATATCACTTTAAAATAACCAAGTTTCTCAGGAGGGTTATACCCAGCTGATTCTGTGGAGGTTTTTATGGAAGAGGTTAGAAGGACCATACATCTTTCCCATTTATATTCTACTAGACAAAATTTAGCCCCATGCCCCAGCTCTATACAAGGTGGTAAGGCAGGAAATAAAGTTTCCATAATGGCAAGGAATGCAGAAGGCAATCAATACTCAGAAACATAGACAGCACAGCAGTCCAGCCACCAGGGTACAGTGGGGACCACAACATGTGCCCACGCAAGGAGTGTAACAGGAGTGTAACAGGGCCCTGACTGGTGTTGCTCAGTTGGTTGAGTGCCATTCCATGCACTGAGAGATCGCCAGTTCGATTCCCGGTCAGGACGTGTGCCTGGGTTGTGGGTTCGATGCCCAGTAGGCAGCCAATGGATGCTTCTACCTCTCCCTTCCTTTCTCTCTAAAATCAATAAAAAACATATTTTTTTTTAAAAAAGAGTGTAACAGGAATGAACACAAATGTGGTTTGGGATAGCTCTCTAGTCCTGAAAGAGAGTTAGAGTTTATCATGAGTAAATGTCAGAAATTTGGAATAGGCACTAATCAGAGGAGAAGGAGGCAAAATGAACTGCAAGCTGGAGGCATCATGAAATTGGGGTGGAGGAGGGGGTGCCACGGTATTTGGAAGCAGTTGTCTAAAAGTCCTGTGACTGCATCACTGGCACTAGAAATGGGCTCCTTTCTAGCTGCTCATGAGGCGTGTGCTGGGGGCCTTGCGTGGGGCTATCTGAAAAACTGAGGCAGGGTGCAGCAAGGAAAAGGGGCCCATCTGTGGACTCCGCTGAAGACCCTGGAAAGGGCAGAGCTAAAAACAGTAGCAGAATATTATGAGGAAAAGGTGGCTAAGGAAATTGAAAACTATTTCTGCAAAGAGCATGACTCAAAATGAAATATAGGAATCACAATATCCAAACAGGATGTGCCATTTCCTACACAATTTAGAGCCTGCAAAGAACCTCTGAAAACTAAATGGCAAGTTTGGGACCAACATTTCAGTGATTGATCTAGAGTTGCTCAAATTTTCTGATCAGCAGCATGGCGTAATTTGCATGGGCATCCACTTTAAAGTTGTGTAGATTCGGGCTCGTCGTGCAGCTGTTGAAGCCAATAAAGTTTTCCGAGTGTCAGACAGCAGGGGCACGCTCTGACGCTCTGCACGGCTCTGCTGGTCTGAGTTGCTCTGAGTCCAGATATTCTTCTTAATTGCTCCTGACTATGCCAGGGCCGGTTCCTTCTCAAACCCTTCCCACTTAGTCCAAGCTCCTCCTTTATCCTCTGCTCATTGTTACAGGTGTCGGGTCCGAGCCCCTCTGCCTTGGGCTGGGCCTCCTAGGACTCCAGGTCTTAGAGAAGCCATGAGAGGTTGCGGGTATATACTAGTATTAGTAAGACTGAGTCTTTATTGCAGGAGCCAATGGCCACATAGCCATCAGACAAGACAATCCTTCACAGCAAAGTCCATACAGGCAGGCAGCCTGACACCGGCTGGTTAAAATGTACATCTTTCCCACAATGCAGCATTAGTCTCTACCCACAGCTCTTATCTGAGCAGCCGCACACTGCCTCCTAGACTCACCACCTCACATCTTAGTGGTACCTAAGCTCTCTGGCTCAGCACACTGGCTCTCTATGAGCTCTTAGCCTCACAATACCAGCTCTCAACTCCGTCTGAGCTCTCTAGTGTCTCCTGCACACATAGGTGCTACATTCTCTGTGCCTCTCGCTTCTGATTCTCTGAGCTCTCTAGCCTCTGCTCTGCCCAGCTGTTCTCTCTCACTGGCTGGTCAGGAGCCTGTTTATTACTACAGAGACAAAGGCTAGTAGCCAACAGTGACATCAACCATTTGGGTTACAGAAGGGCACAGCGTACTGTGAGGTTGCTGCAGCCTTGCAGCTGTGTACGGTATCTTGGCCTTGGGCACCCCAATTAGGCTCATGCTCAGCGCGGCCTTGGCCATTCCGGTGTATTTGACAACAAGGCCTCTGTGCTCCCATTGGCCTTGACTATCCAGAGACCCTGGCATCGTTCTCACACTGAATCTCAGCTTCTACATCTATAAAATGGAATTCATGCACATATTATACTAGGAGGCACTTTTTTTGATTTGAGAACTAAATGATGTGATGTATGAAGGTACCTGGAATATGTTATTTCCAGCTCCATCTTCCTACCCACCAGCAGTAGAAAGAGCTGTCAGAAACTCCCTAGAATCTTTTAAAGATTATTCCATAGGCTCAGTCACTCTCATCTCCCACTCTCATAGCTCATCCTTATACCTCACTGGAAATCCATATGCTGTAGTCATAGCCTGAGTGAACTTTTAAAAATGCAAGTCTGAACCCTTGTTTTCCTCTTGACTTCAGAGTCATCAGTTCTCTTTCCACAAGCACACACCTATGTGCCAGTTACAGTTGGAGGAGTTGAGGTTGCAGCAGTAGAGGAATAAAAGATACTTTCCCTATTCGCATGGAGCTTGCAAGCTAGTTGAGGAAAAATAGACAGTAAATAAAGAAATAAATCAGTGATATTGTATATTGATGAGTTCACTAAAGACTTATACACATGAGGGGCATTGTTCACGTTGGTGATGTTTTTCTTCAGAATGACTGGTTCCTCTTTTGTCCAATGGTGACCCACCCAGGTTATCCCACAGCCATCAACACTGCAGCCTTGTCTGTGTGGGCCTCTGCTGGGATGTGTGACTCTTACAGTGGTAAAGGGTAGAATGAAACAGGAGAGAAAGGATGAAGTCCTGTATTGTCAGCATGGTCCACAAGGATTTGCAGGAGCTAACCATGCCTGCCTCTCTGTCCCCATCACCCTTCACTGTCCAGTCGGCTCTCTGTGCTCCAGTGTGGCCTAGTTCAGTTGCATCCTTGAGTGGGTACTGCCCTGTACCTCAGCACCTTTCCTTGTGAGAAGCATTTCATCATCACCCCCATCACTGCCTCTTACTACTTTCTATCATGCATGAATTACTTTTTTTATTCTCAATCAAGGATATGTGTATTGATCTTAGAAAGGCAGAGAGAAAGAAAGACATGTTAGAGAGACAGAGAGATAGAGACATCATAGAAAGAGAGGCAGAGAGAGAGAGAGAGAGAGAGAAAACATCGATGTGAAGAGAAACATTGAACGGTTGCCTCTCATACCTGCTCTGATCAGGGATCAAACCCTCAAACCCGGTATGTGCCTTGACTGGAAATCAAACCCTCGACACTTTTGGTGCATGAATGATGCTCCAACCAGCTGAGCCACCCGGCCAGGGGATTAACTTAATTTTAATGATTGTCTGTCTAAGGGGAAAAACACACTGCTTGGGTTCTTCATGGGTAAATAGCCCCAGTTCCCATGAACCACAGTACCTAGCACATTGGAGAATATTCTCTTAATATCTGTCATTGCACAGGTGGTTCTGGACTATCAGGGGAAGCTTAAATGGGAAGAGCTTGCAGACTGGGTCCCATACCCAGAGGCATCCAGCCCCTGCCTATTCCCTCTCACCTAACTAAATTCAGAAAATTTAGCCCTGACTGGTTTTGCTCAGTGGATGGAGCGTTGGCCTGCGGACTGAGGGGTCCCGGGTTCGATTCCGGTCAGGGGCATGTGCCTTGGTTGCAGGTACATCCCCAGTCGGGGGTGTGCAGGAGGCGGCTGATCGGCTGATCGTTTCTCTCTCATTGATGTTTCTGACTCTCTGTACCTCTCCCTTCCTCTCTGTAAAAAATCAATAAAAATATATTAAAATAAATAAATAAATAGATAGATAAATAAAATTTAGGTATCATCACCTAAGAATATGTTCAGTGCAAGGAGACAGAAAATGTTGGTTATGATTTTCCTGAAAGTCTTCATCCTGCCACTGTGCTAAGTCAGTGAAACATGACAGATTGTCATGTTATGCTAACAAACCACCTTTAAAAATAAGACCCCAAATTGTAAGTGTAACATTAAAATATCACTTTTAATTTTTCAAACAGTTTTCTATTAGTGATGTGGACTCATCAGACCCTGCTTGTCTACTAGAAAGAAAAACAAACAAACAAAGAAACAACCCATTCCAAATCTGAAAATCCTCCCCAATTAGAATTTGAATGTAACTTCACCTTTTATAATCCTTAGAATAATAAACAAAAATAAACAATCAAAGACTTCATAGGAAAAGTCATTATGTAAATGAATGCACAGTGGAACCAGAGAAGGAATGTTAACTACTTGAGAAATCTAGTGTGTAAAACGCTTAGAAATCGTCTAAATAGCATCCATTGGTGCATAGATAAGGCACGAGTTACAAATCATCTCTAGCCAATTTCAGATGCTCTAGCACAGCAATTTTCAACTGGTGTGTTGCAAGAATTTTTAAAACATGCAATAGCTGACTACTTAGGGGCACTGACCTCTTTTCCCTTTGATTGCCTAATAAAAAAATGACAACAGCCAACAAGAACATTAGCCAACTGGCGTGAATGCATCAAAAGTATACCTACTTTTTCTCTGCTC